ACCTACTAGCAAGTGCCCAAATAACCACACCCTGTTAAATGTCAGCACTGTCAGACTACCAATTTATGGAAGGGAAGAAAAGAACTAAGATTATGCATCAGATTCTTGCCAAATACTTTAAATCATCCATCCATCCATCCATCCATCCATCCATCCATCCATCTTCATCCGCTTTATCCGGGGCCGGGTCGCGGGGGCAGCAGCCTAAGCAAAGAGGCCCAGACCTCCCTCTCCCCAGCCACCTCCTCCAGCTTATCCGGGGGAATACCAAGGCGTTCCCAGGCCAGCCGAGAGATATAATCTCTCCAGCGTGTCCTGGGTCTGCCCCGGGGCCTCCTCCCGGTGGGACATGCCTGGAACACCTCACCCAGGAGGCGCCCAGGGGGCATCCTTGTCAGATGCCCGAACCACCTCAGCTGGCTCCTTTCGATGTGGAGCAGCAGCTGCTCTACTCTGAGCCCCTCCCGGATGGCCGAACTTCTCACCCTATCTCTAAGGGAGAGGCCAGCCATCCTTCGGAGGAAGCTCATTTCCGCCACTTGTATCCGCGATCTTTCTTTCGGTCACTACCCACAGCTTGTGACTATAGGTGAGGGTAGGGGCGTAGATCGACCGGTAAATTGAGCTTCACTTTTACACTCAGCTCCCTCTTCACCACGACGGACCGGTGCAGCGTCCGCATCACTGCAGCCGCAGCACCAATCCATCTGTCGATCTCTGGCTCCCTTCTCCCATCACTCATGAACAAGACAAGATACTTGAACTCCTCCACTTGGGGCAGGAACTCATCCCTGACCCAGAGTGGGCACTCCACCCTTTTCCGGCTGAGAACCATGGCCTCAGATTTGGATGTGCTGATCCTCATTCCCGCTCCAATGAAATTTATACATCCTTTCTTTCCTGTAAAATACTTGAAGCTGTTCACTAACGAACAAATACTAACACTTAAGACTTTTATATTGCTGGAGGACAAAAATGAACTGCACGTCAGTAATTAGCATTGAGTGAAGCATGTCTGATATGTGCGTGTGAAGCTCAACTCACGTTGCCTCTTGAAAGTTGCTGCTCTGCAGGATTTGGGTTAATCCCGCGCTGCTTGTTGGAGGCAAAGCTGCTGCTGCTGCTGCTCAATCCTCCGAAGTACCTGCTGATGGAGGTCTGAGTGGTGCAGGACTTTTTCAGAGACTTTGGCATGCTTTAATGTTCGCTTACATTTGATCCATAATAACAAGTCGCATAAAAATGAATTTGCGTGTACAATAAAGTGCAGAGCTTTGACAGCCGCTGTCCAGCTTTTCAAAATATAGCAGCGCATACGATGAGGTCACAGACGCGTAAATGACGCGCGCCTTCTTCTTCCTCTTTGGTTAGCAAAGGTTGGCGGCTCCAGGAGCGTTGCTGCCTTCTCCTGGTTTCACCAGATATTCTACTCAATGCACGCTGCTCTGTGAAAACGACAACGTGTATATTGTAGTTGATTTCAAGTTTATTTCATCCTGAAAAAGTTGAAGAAAAAAAAAAAAAATACAAAGAAGAGACAAAAAAAAAAAAAAAAAAAAAAAAAAAAAAAAAAATGGTTACTTCAGTCCACTAATTTCCTGGATGAAGCATACAGTGCTGTGAACAAGAATTTCCTCCCTTACTATTTTTTATTTTGTGTTTGCATGTGTAAAGTGTAGAAGTAAATTTAAATCTACTTTGATATACAAAGAGGTGTTTACAAAGGTTATAAAGCTAGTTATGTAGCTATTTGGTGGTTACGTGTTTTGATATTTACATGTTTACATGTTTGAATGTTTAGACATGCATGTTCAAACCAGTAATAAGTATGTGTTATATCTACCTGGTTGTTTTCCCTGTTTTGATCTGAGTATAAGATTTCCTGGCTTCTGAGAGGCCAGTGAAGTATTCATGAGGGCGACACACAGGAAGTGTGGGTTGTTGTGGGAGTGTGCTAAAAGTAAAGAGGCTGCTAAAAAGTTATCCGTCTCCGTCTTGCTGTTCCTAATTATTCAGAGAGATTCCCAACCATCTAGTGAACCCTCACGTTACATAATATGTATGATTCAGATCAACAGCTGGGGTGGTCGAGGCTAAAGGGAGGTGGGGGGGGAGAGGCAGCGGGGGGGGTGGAAGTGGGAATGGGAGGATTGAGTTCTTGGGTGATTCTGGTGTAGTGAGAGATGAAGTAACTCCCCCAACAAACCAAGGCTGCGGTAGATGTAAACGTGACTTCTCCGATCTGAACACATAGCATATCCCTCTCAGTTGAAAACCATGAATGTTTTGCATACATGCATGATGAACAAAATAATAAATAGTAATTAATATTGGATTGTGTCATAAAGACTAATGTCGAAAGGACATAGTGTGTTAAATGACCACATAGTCCGTATATTCTACTGTGAATCTTTTTCATAAGAAATATCTATCTTGAGCGTGTGAACCAACTATGCTCAGAAACATGATCGAACTACGACGGTAGATCAGTCAGATCGCAGTGCGATGTCTGCCTGCACTACTCTCAAATCCTGGGTTTGCCACATCGAGTGTAGGTCAAGGGGAGATGCAATGCACGCTGCTTATCTTGTTTTATTATCCACATTAGGCTCCTAGGTCACCGACATATCATTTAACCAATTTTTTCACACTTCTAAGACGCCACTTACACATAATGCAAACCACAAAAATTAGAATAAAAAATAGTTTCCAACCCTGGTATGTGTTTTAGAAGGAAAGAATCGGTATCTAAGTTCTACTTAATCACACTGAGTGGGTTATTCTGCGTCTTCACGTCGTCCATGAGGAAGATGCAGTTTGCAATCTATAGTGACTTCCATGTACGATGCATGTTAGATGACCAACTGAATATCCATGTTCTCTTTCAGTGCAAGCTATGACTCCACCTGAGGTAGATTTGCCAACTGTGATGTCCTCTGTTCTGCCTACTCGTCTAGCAGATGCTGCATTTTTGTACTGGGACAGTTTGCCTTCATCAGCCCAGAAAGACTATGATCTAGTGAAGGATAAGCTGAAAGAGGTTTTCGGTCCAAAATATTCTCTGCCATTCTTCCAGACACATGTGAATGCTCGCCCCCGGAAACCAGGTGAAAGTTTAGATGTGTACAGCGCGGATATTACCCGTCTTGTGCTTGAAGCTTTCCCTAACTATGACTACAATGCCTTGGAAGGTGAAAAATTTCGCCGTTTTGTTGCTGGGTTGGACCCCACCTTGCAATCTAAGATTCATGAGATGGGTGCAGAGGATCTCGACGGAGCCCTGCGCAGAGATTTTTGAAGAGATGCAAATGCTCAGGTTCTGAAAAGAAATTAGGAAGTTGAGCTAAGAAAGAAAGGCTCAGCACTCGGAAGTATAGGAATCGAGAATCTGTTCTTGTGGAGAATGCATAAACTTCACACTTATGCTACTGTCCTGTTTTAAAGCTTCCATGAATCCGTTTTTAAATGTAAAACAATATTGGGTTATCTCAAAAGGGCTATCTAAATATAAGTTTTTATTTATTGTTATTAAACTATACCAGGAAGCTTTCCTGTCCTTTGGGGGGGCGTGGTTATATGGATCACTTGGTAGGAGGCTCTTTGAAGAGATACAAAAGCTCAGGTTCTGAAAGCAAACACGAAAGTTGAGCTGAGAAAGAAAAGATTAGCAGCAGCTTTTTCTCTCACAAGACTGATCAGCAATTTGAGTTCATGATGCAGCTCTATGGAGCTCTGATCCTGAGTGTGACTCTGTCTGCAGGTAAGAAAAATATCTTTAAAACCAACTGTTTGTGGTTTTAAAGATTTGTAGAATACAGCAGACTTTAAAGGAGTCATTTCTTGGTAAATATTGGGGCATAGAAAACAGGCTTAAAAATACAAACATATTTACTTATTTTGTGGTCAGTAGAGGAATATTTTACAGACTGAGAAGACTTCTTAAGATTTCACTTCTTATATATGACCCAATTTCTGGCAACTCTCTCAAAGGGCATAAAAAACTCTCAATAATTTCTAATGTGTGTGAAATTGTGTTTTTATTTCTATAGTATGTGGATTAAGATGCTACACATGCACAGCTGCCGATCCTAAATCCTGCATAGACAGCAAAGCTTGTGCTTTCGCCTTCAACCGTTGTTTCTCTCTCAAAGTAGTAGGTGAGATGTTATCACATATCACAAGCTCTATCTAAAACTAAATGCTGAATGTCTGCTGGCTCTTGGTCTCTTGTAAAGTTTCTGTCTGAGAATTTTCCCCTCATGTCTTACAGGTCTTAATGTAGTTTCAAAGGGCTGCCAAACCAGTGCATTATGTGTTGGGCCTATGTCTTGCTGTGAAGGGGACCTGTGTAACAGCGCTATTCCAATTGGTCCCAGTGCCATCCTGCTGCTGGTATCTTCAGCCATCCTCAAATTTCTTTTCTGAGGCTGTGGAATGATGTTGTTTGCACTTCAGATTCTATTTTGTATCAGTAGAGCAGAAATAAACAACTTTGAAGTGCCTGATATGAAATA